TAATACACTGGACGCGGATTTGCTGTTCAATAACTGGAAACATACAAATGGACTGCACCAGTGTTGAGTGAATGGTTCAGGTTTAAAACCAAACTAACTCACCAATGAAGCCTCTCATGCATAGATGAGTTGGAAAGATTTTGACTCAATTTATATTGTTTTTTGTTTTTGCTTTAATCTTTGTGGCTCTTTCTGTCAGGGGTTCAGGAGAAATGAGCAAGAGACAAAACCCATATAGCAGCCTCATAATCCACATAGTAGGAGTGTTCTGCCTCTTGATGTACTGTACACCTCTCTATTCCTGGTAGAATAGGTGCATTGTCCATTCACTCCTGGAACCATTTCGTTTCCACTTATGGTTTCTTTCAACAAACAGGCCACAGCATAACATGTTTCATAAGTCCAGAGGCCTACTAACAAGCTGTTTAACCTCATTAGCCCCCAAAAGATGGCGGTGTTAGAACACCACACCCCAGGGAATTAGATCTTCCTGTTGAACCACATTTCTATTCTGGAAAAAGACTGTAAAAATGGCATTGTGGGTTTGATAGAAGGGATACACACCATCTATTGAAAAACAGGTTCCATCCAAAAGGTGCAGTTCATGCCTGGGCTGTGGGCAGCACATTACTTGGGAAAAACTTAAAGGCCAATGTTAAGAGCTGAGCTTGAGCGGCTAAGGTGGCAGAGGGGATCTTGTGTCTCAATGAGTCCAGTCAAATTTGCTCAGTAAACAAGAGTTGTTTTTCTTAACTGACAACTCTGCAAATTCCAGGTGGGATCTGAAAGTCAAACTGGGTTCTTTCTGTGTCATGTGTTATCTCGTGCATCATGGCCAGCAAAAAATGTTCTGAATGCTAAATTATGCCTTCGGTTACATTTGTGTAACTCATTAAAAGTGAATAGAGTTGCACATTTTGCTACATTTTCTGCCTTTCAGGAAACACTTAAAAAAACCTAAACTTTTGTCACTAAAGACTAAATTAATTCACAGTCACAGTTCAACCATCAGACTTATCCATTTGACTCTAGTGTAGGGTAATAATATGTTTATTTTCACCTGTGTTTTTGAGCTTGCAAAAGTGCAAAGGTTAAAACTGACAAATGGGATTTGAAAAGCACATCAGCAAGCTAAACTTAACATAAAATACAAATTATCACAACAGACCATAGCTGTTGTATGAATGGCACAGGTTTTAGTTAGTTTAGAATTAACTGGTGAAAGTAGTTCCTTCTGTTCTTAACTAAATAGAGTACACAGTTTGTTAAAGCGTAACATATATTTTATTCTAAAGGCCTGTTTTTCATTTAAACCCGTGGTTAAGCCTGGAATCAGCCACTGTGCTCAAGTATCTTTAGTTTACTTAAAACATGAAAAAAGAAGCCAGGACGTGTTTGGTTGGCCTAAGCAAAAAATACAGTGCTTCCAAAGCTCTAGCAATCTTAGGATCATGCAGCTTTGTTTCTTTCAGTGCAGGACATAAAAATATTTGTGTCTGTATGTTTTGATAATAGAAATGAGTACCTTGTCATGTTTTAAATCAGCAGCCAAAGGACTTCTTAAGTGAACATGACAGTATTTAAAATGTCCTATGCTACCTTGATTAAGATGTGTCAATCACAATTAACAGCAACAGATTTGCTATTCTAAAACAAATAAATCCTGCATTAAAACTTCTTTGCTGCATGAAAAGCGGATGACGAGTGACTGCAGAAGGCAAACCTACCACTATAGCCAGTTAATCTGTCAATAGAAATTACTTTCATTATTTCCTGTATTCACTAGGGTTGGTAAACAATAGAACTTCAGCTAATACAGTTTTTGTTGCATACAAATTGAATGTGAAATACTGGATGACATTATAAATTAATCTCTTTTTGCTATTGCACTGGAATCCTGAGGCCCTCTGAGTCTTCATGATTAAATCAGTCTGTAAACTTCATATATTTTTCTATCAACCCTATTAAAATCATGTCTTTTTCTCATCTACCAAATTAAAGGGTGTCCTTCCACCTGCTATTTGAAGGAGACTCGTCGTCCTTGACTCTACACACGCAACAAAAACGAAAAGAACATTCACACTTCTCACAAAGGATTGTGAGAAGTGTGTGCTGAAAATCCACATGGTGGGGTAAGCTCTCTCTTTTCAAGTAAAAGCCTCTCTCAGCTTTCCAAGCTTGTGGGCTTCCTCTGCATGTTTCCCACTGTAGTTTTTTGTGCTATCAGCCATCATGTCCCTCCTGTGGCTTTTATTCGTACTGAGTAACTCCTCACACTCCTCATCCTATCAGCAAAAGCCATGCTTGTGAATCTCCTGAGGAAATGTCCTTCCTTTACTCTTTCCAACAACTCTGCCCATCTGCCATCTGGACTATTTTGTTTCCGTCTCGTTCATTTGTGGCTCTCACACTCCATTCTCCATGCTCCCTTCCAGTGCTCATTCTTTCCCCCTCCTGCCCTTTTATATTGGTTTAATTTGGCTCATGAGAGTGGCTGGGAATTTTTTCTGTGTCTGCTTACTGAGCACCAAACAGAGGGTCATGGCCTCAAAAAGAGCTATGACCCTAAAACAAGTCAATACATTGGGGAGTAGAGACTTATGTGGAAGGGCTAAAGTGGACCATTCAGATAATTCATGAACTTGAAGTGGATAATTAAACAAACTTGGCTCTTTGAAATGTTTAATATGCAGCTTTAGGGGATCACAGGGAATTAAGGATGTTAGGGATGGGGTACAGGTGGTAGGGTCAATACCAAGCAATAATCCCTTGGATACACACCATCCATTGAAAAATGGGTTCCATCTGAAAGGTGCAATTGATGCCTGGGCTGTGGGCAGCATGTTATTT